CCTCCTCAAAGTAGAGTTGACTTTAATGATGTGGGTGTAATAAAGCTTTCAGGACCTTCATATACTGATGAGTTACAACTTAAAATGAGAAGAAATAGCTACAAACATTAATTAGTAATCAGAATGTGGAATGTACAAAGTATGAATTAAGGAAAACTAGAAGTTGTCAAAAATGAAATGGAACACACAAAGATCGATATCCTAGGCATTAGGGAGCTTAAATGGACTGATATTAGCCATTTTGAATCAGATAATCATATGTTTTACTATGCTAGGAATGACAAATTGAAGAGGAATGGTGTAGCATTCATCATCAAAAAGAACATTTCAAGATCTATCCTGAAATACAGTGCTGTCAGTGGTAGGATAATATCCATTTGCCTACAAAGAAGACCAGAAAATAATACAACTATTATTCAAATTTCCACACCAACTACTAATGCTAAAGATGAATAAAATGAAGATTTTTACCACATTCTGCATTCTAAAATTGATCAAACACACAATCAAGATGCATTGTTAATTATTAGTGAGTGGAATACGAAAGTTGGAAATGAAGAAGAAGGATCAGTAGTTGGAAAATATGGCCTTGGTGATAGAAATGACACCAGAGACTGCATGATAGAGTTTTGTAAGACCAATGACTTATTCATTGCAAATACCTTTTTTCAGCAACATAAATGGTGACTATACTTGTAGACCTCACCCGATGGAATACATAGGAATCAAATTGACTACATCTGTGGAAAGAGAAGATGAAGAAGCTTAATATCATCAGTCAGAACAAGGCCAGGGGCTGATTGCAGAATAGACCATCAATTGCTCATATGCAAATTCAAGTTGAAGCTGAAAAAATTAATCCCATTCCATGAGAGCCAAAGTACAACCATGAGGATGTCCTATCTAAATTTAGAGACCATCTCAAGAATAGATTTGACACATTGAACACTAATGACCAAAAACTAGACAAGTTGTGGGATGACATCAAGGACATCATACATGAAGAAAGAAAAAGGTCATTAAAAAGACTGGAAAGAAAGAAAGACCAAAATGGTTGTCAGAAGAGACTTTGAAACTTGCTCTTGAATGTAGAGTAGCTAAAGTGAAAGGAAGAAATTATGTAGTAAAAGAGTTGAACAGAAGATTTCAAAGGGTGACTATAGAAGACAAAGCAAAGTATTATAATGAAATGTGCAAAGAACTGGAGTTGAAAACCAAAAGGGAAGAACATGCTTGGCGTTTCTCAAGCTGAATGAACTGAAGAAAAAATTGAAGCCTCAAATAGCAATATTGAAGGATTCTATGGGCAAAAAATTGGATAATGCAGGAAGCATCAAAAGAAGATGGCAGGAATACACAGAGGCACTGTGCTAAAAAGAATTAGTTGATGTTCAACCATTTCAGGAGGTAGCATATGGTTAAGAAGTGATGATATTGAAGGAAGAAGTTCAAGCGGCACTGAATGCATTGGCGAAAAACAAGGTTCCTGGAATTGACGGAAAATCAATTGAAATGTTTCAACAAACGGATGCAGTGCTGGAGGTGCTTATTCATCTATGCCAAGAAATTTGGAAGACAGCTACCTGGCCAATCTACTGGAAGAGATTCATATTTGTGCCCATTTCAAAGAAGGGTGATCCAACCAAATATGGAAATTATCGAACAATATTATTAGTATCCCATGTAAGTAAACTTTTGCTAAAGATGATTCAGAAATTGTCGCAGCAGTACATCAACAGGGAACTGCCAGAAATTCAAGCCAGATTCTGAAGAGGATGTGATGTAAAGGATATCACTGCTGATGTCAGATGGATCTTGGCTGAAACCAGAGAATACCAAAAACATGTTTACCTGTGTTTTAGTGACTATGCAAAGGCATTTGACTGTGTGGATCATAACAAACTATGAATAGCATTGCGAAGAATGGGAATTCCAGAACACTCAACTGTGCTCATGTGGAACCTGTACATAGACCAAGAGGCAGTCGTTCTAACAGAACAAGGGCACACTGCATGGTTTAAAATCAGGACAGGTGTATGTGTGGGTTGTATCCTTTGACTATACTTATTCAATCTGTATGCTGAACAAATAATCTGAGAAGCTGGACTATGTGAAGAAGAATGCAGCATCAGGATTGGAGGAGGACTCATTAACAACTTGAGATATGCAGATGAAACAATCTTGCCCGCTGAAAGTGAAGAGTACTAGAAGCACTTACTGATGAAGATCAGACTACAGCCTTCAGTATGGATTCCACCTTAACATAAAGAAAACAAAAATCCTCACAATTGGACCAATAAGCAACATTATGATAAATGGAGAGAAGATTGAAGGTGTCAAGGATTTAATTTTACTCGGATACACAGTAAATGCCCATGGAAGCAGCTGTCAAAAAATCAAATGACGTATTTCCTTGGGCAAATCTGCTGCAAAAGCCTTCTTTAAAATGTTGAAAAGCAAAGACGTATCTTGAGAACTAAGGTGCGCTTGACGCAGGCCATGGGATTTTCAATGGTCTCATATGCTTTGGAAGCTGGACAATGAATAAAGAAGACTGAAGAAGAATTGATGCCTTTGAATTATGGTATTGGCAAAGAATATTGAATATACCACGGAGTGCCAGAAGAATGAATGAATCCGACTTGGAAGAAGTACAACCAGAATGCTCATTAGAAGCGAGGATAGTGAGACCTCGTCTTGCTTATTTTGGACATGTTATCAGGAGGGTTCAGTCCCTGGAGAAGGACGTCATGCTGGTAAAGCAAAAAGAGGAAGACTCTCAAGGAAATGGAATGACACAATTGCTGTAACAATGGGCTCAAACATAGCAATGATTGTGAGGATGGTGCAGGACAGGGCTGTGTTTCTTTCTATTGTGCATGGTGTCATTAGGAGTTGGACCGCTCATAACAACAATGACAATATGAGTGACTTTTAATTCAACAGTGTCAGAGTAGCAGAGTTCAATTTGCATCATCTGATAGCCTTTTATATTTCAACTTTTGAAAAGAACTGTTGGTGAACCCAAAAAGCAGTGTCGTCAATGAGGACTTATTACATGCATCACTCTAAACTAACAGAAGTGTCAAGTGTTCCCCTGCCTGGGACTACAGAGATCACCTCCAGCTCAACTCTTTCATGTTGCTCACCAGAAATGGGGTCCCAGAGCTGTTAAGTGATTTGCCAATGGTTACAGACCTGGGACTAGAACTCAAATCTTCTTACTTGTACAACAGGGGCCTTTTTCCAAATTACTCTGCCTCTCCTCAGTCATAAAGCAGAATTTCGAGACCAAGGGAAGAGCATTAACCAGTTGCAAAAAAGACTTAATGTTGCTGTTCTCTCTTGATTTTGTCTTCATATCAAGCATCTACTAGCCACTACTAGCCTGTTACCATCCACCACTTACCGGCTTGAGAATCAGAGCAGAACGTTAATGCTTCCTGTGACCAATGCAGGAACTTTATCAGAAGTTGATCAAGAGTTTTTGTTCAAAGTTAAGAAGGCACTAGTTTGAAAATAATAATGAGTCCACGTGCTTAAGGCTCGATTAAAGGTGAATTGAGAATTGCAGTTAACATTGATGATACCTTTGTCTTCATAAATATTTCACCTAATGTATGAAGCTTAATGTTAGTTTTCATTTCATTTTTCTCTGTAGCAATTCTAATTTTATTTAACTATTGCATCAAGGATTTACATAGTCTGCCATCGCCTGGAGGACAACAGAACAAAAGCTTTGAATCAAAACACCTGGGAAGACATGATAATTATTTGCTACAATTATGTCCTCGCTAATTAACCCTTTGTCCAGCTCTGCATATGGAGGCTTAGGGAAAACACAGACTCTCCCAGTAAGTGTATCTTGAACGAATGAAGACAATGATAAACATAAAAAGATACACAAAAGTGACTTGGCTACTTATGCTTGACTAGATAGCACTGAGGACAAGGGTGGCGTTTGAAACCATCCAAAGTCCTAAACTTTGATAATAAGGTCGGCAGTTAGAATCCACCAGCTGCTCCTTGGAACCCTATGGGGCAGTTCTACTATGTCCTATAGGGTCACTGAGTCAGAATCAACTTGATGGCAACAGGTTTGGTTGTTGTTTTTTTAAATATAGTTCTGTGGAAAAGCTTTGTTTCTCCTTTGTAGCATAAGTTTTAGTTGAAGATAGAGTCATTGCATACATTGGGCATAGATCTAGTTAGTGGAAACACTTATCTCCTGCAGACAAGGAAAGAAAACACCAGAGTAAGAAACAGGAATATATCATTCAAAAATTTTATATCTTGGAAGAGGAAAAGTGAAATAGAAAACCAATGAAACCAAGCAGTCCACAGGAGCAATACAGCTGGTGGAGAAAGGGTGCTCAGAGATAGGCAGCCAGAAGCCAGATTCATTGCAAGTTCTTCAGAACGCAGTGATCTTGAGAGGGCTAGGAAGAGTGGTGGACGGAGCAGCTGTGTGTCCTTTCATTACAACAGGAAGGTTAAGGTGAGGCATGAGATTCTGTGCCGCACACTCAGAGATGCTTCCTTCTGGACTGAGAGGGCTATGTCCTCTGTGAAACACTGGTGAGCTTTCAGCTAGGGTGACTTCAATCCCCCAAAGAGGTCCACAGACTGAGAAAATATGGAGAAGAAAAGGCCAAATGTTGAAGGTACAGGAGGAACCAGACATACAAGAAAAGGTGCTAATACCTAAGCAATGAAGGGAGCAGTGAAATTATTTAAGATGGCCTATGCAGATATAACTAGAATTTTTGTTGATGAAATTAAGAAAAACATTGTTTAAATATCTTCTAATACCCTATAAATAAATCGCCTTTGACTCAGATAAGTGTGGATTCAAAAAGCAAACAGAAATGTAACACGTTCTCTGATTTAACAGAATTCTCTTTCCTAATTCATGAATCTCTTAGAGTAAGAATAACAATTTTTCCAACTGAAAAAAAAAAAACCACACACACACAATAAAACAAAGTGAACGGAACTTTAAAAACTATCAACAAATATATTTATTGTGGTGGCTTTCCCCTCTACTAGATACACCTTGTTAGAAAATAGTATCCCTTTTAGTTCCTGGTGGATCATTAAGCAGGTAATAAAACTTTTTTTTCCTTCATTGAGAAGAGAAAGAAAACACATGAGTTTGCAAACATGTTATACTCTCCTTGCTCTATTTTTTTGTTTTCTATGAAATCAGAATTTTATTCTAATAAGTATGATTTTGTTTTTGGACATATGTTATAGGTACATGTTTACAGACATATAACCCAACGGGTAGCAGAGGCTGAACCACATATTGCTGACATAGATTGGAGTCCTGTTCCAGGTAATCACAACCCTTCACAGTTTTGTAAAGCACAAAAATAATCTCCAACTCTATGGTTTCTTCCATATATTGCCTTTCTCCAATCCCATACAGTATATTCAACTCTGGTATGCACTCTTGCATTTCTTGCAGAAATACAGGATAAGGGCAATAGAACCAATCTTAAAACAGTTGTTTCTGTGATGATAAATCCTACGATTCCAAATGCCAGGCCCTAATTCTGAGCACTCTCTAGACCTCCTGGACAAAACAACACTGTCCTCTGAAAGATGTTTCTCTCCCCTGATCTCTTATTTGTCTTGAAGGGATACTGCCTCACTGAATCTGTAGAACTATCTCTTCCTTCTTAAAACAATAGCTTGAAAAATATTTTTATAGGGAAAAGATGTTGCTTCTCCAGGTGTCATCATTATGTTGTTACATCATATAGCCTATTGATAATTATGTACAAAATTTCTTGTCTCTTAACAATGCATAGAAGCATAAAAGATAACCATTTGAAAGTATCCCTTCTTTAAACTTTTGGCTCTTTGCTGTTAACTATGTTTGTATGAAGAATATAGCAACTATTTGGAATGTTGTTTAGACTGAGCAGTAACTGATAACATCCATTTATGGTCCTAATGGCTAGAGCACCTGCCCTGGGCATCTGGTTGAGATAGCAGCATCATGAGTCTACAACAATCTCATGGGACCCTCTAGTGTACAGTGCTGACTGATACCGATTTCTGTTGTTTATCTTGGACTTTTCGCTTCTTCTGCTGCTGTTTGTCTTTGTTTTCTCCTTGTTCTGGGGTTTCTTTGCTGGGTTCCAGACCTTTGTTGTCAGGTATTGCTTCCTTACTCTCTTCTTGATTAAGTTTTTTTCTTTTCCTTTCCCTTCCTTTTTTTCCTGAAATGAAAGGATATTCCTTTAAAAAATACATAAAATTACGTTCTATTTGGTTATTCTAAGTTTTAAAAAATGAGTTAAACTTCTCTAAGGTTGCATCCCACACCCATAGAAACCAAATATCTAAAATCTAAATCATGCATTCAACTACTCTTTATTAAGTTTTCACTATACTCCAAGCAATGTGAACATGAAACACACACAAAATATAAGGAAGCAATTAATATATGATAGTTTAGAGTTCTATTCTTATAAGTTTAGAATTTATTTTACATGGTAGTTATTTACATACATTTAATAGAAAGTTTTGAATAGACTTATAATCTAAGAAATTTATTAATGTGTATATTTGATCCAGCCTCCATTTTGTATTCAATAATTTTCAAGTAGCAGTAACATATTTGCGATCTTCTGCTATATCTGGATGCCATCTACTAGAAGAGAATAAATTTCTGTAACAAATATGTAAATAAAAGTTCATGCTGGATACAAGGATAAATGTTACTTTATTTTAGCACAAATATTTTTATACTGAAATTTATGTACTGTGTATTTTCTCTGTATGTGGGGTGGTGGTGATTATAACTTACCAATAACCCTATGGTATAAGCTACTACCACTACTCATCTGTCAGTTTGCTGTACTGTGGTTGCTTGCATGTTGCTATGAAGCTGGAAACTATGCCACAGGTATTTCAAATACCAGAAGGATCTCTTATAGTGGACAGGTTTCAGTGGAGCTTCCAGACTAAGACAGACTAGGAAGAAAGGCCTAGTGATCTACTTCTGAAAATCAGCCAATGAAACCCTTATTGATTACAACAGAACACTGTCAGACTCACTTGCTTTGAACACATCATCAGGAAGGATCAATTGCTAAAGAAGGATATCATGTATGGCAAAGCAGAGGTTCAGTGAGGGCAAAGGAGACCCTCGGTGAGATGGATTGGCACAATAGCTGAAACGATGGACTCGAACATACTGGCAATCATGAGGATGACTTGTGCTGTTGTACATAAGGTCGCCATGAGTTGGAGTCAACTTGGCAGCATCTGTCTGTCTATCTACCTATCTATCTATCTGGACAGGGATTTTGTATTTCTGTCAATCAAATGAACAGATACTTATTGGATGTATACGGGATTTTATGGAGGCCCTGACTTTGAACTGGATTTCAAGAATAGATTTAATTCAGATTCACACTATGAGGCATTTTAAAAAGTGGAATCAACATACCTTTAAAGGTTTTCAGGTGCGAATTCATATTGCAAGGCATACTGAGGCCCGGTTGCAGAACTGAATTTCATTCTATTGGCAGTAGAGAACCACTGAGAGTTCAGAGGAAGAGAATAATTTAATCAAAATGTATGTGTCTGGTACTAAATTGGATGTACTATTTTTATTTATTTCTAAATGAACTAGATATTTTATAATGTAAGCATTTCACATATGAAATCTACAATGTAAAGTAATTTTTGAGGGCATGGTTTTAGAAATATCTATCTGCATATTTCCCTATGAGAAATTACTGATTTAAATCAAAATCATAGGAAATGAAGACTAGGAACCAACTGTTCCTTGATGTGGGACAAATTTTGATAATGTATATTCCCACATACTGAGTCATATAATATTTGAAATTAGTCTGTGTCTACAATAAAGTCACTTTGGGCAAAGTCTTTTGCAGAAATTATTTGCATGGGAGAACCAAAATATTTTCATGTCCTGAAACAGGCTGAAAATATTGAATTCAGTGGTTTGGCTTTCCTTTTCTTGACTCTGGTAATGGAATCCTAGGGAGCAGTATTATTAATACTACATAAATATATTGAGCCAATACAGTCTTTGGATTGATGATTTTATGCCACAACCAGCTTTGTCATAAGACTATATTTACAAAACCTTCCAGCTGATTTATGAAAACTTGCCTCGTTGTGCTCAATATAGCACATCTCCAAAATTCTGAGCTCTCGAAAAACATTTAACAAAATGGGGACCCAGACCAGGGAGAGGCAAATATCAGTTACAGATACGCAGAAGAGAACAAAAAATATTAGAGTTGACTATTATGCCTAGGAGCCCTGGTGGCACAGTGATTAAAAGCTTGGCTGCTAAGCAAAAGGTCGGCAGTTCAGATCCACCAGCTGCTCCTTGGAAACCCTATGGAGCAGTTCTACTCTGTCTTATAAGGTCACTATGAGTTGGAATCTACTCGAAGGCAATGGGTTTTGAGTTTATTATGCCTAAAGCTGAAGATTTGTTTACTGATTTGCCAATTCCATTATTCTTTTCACTTCAAAAAATATTTCAGTTGTTACGGTTTTCTACAAAATATATCCAGGCCTTTAAATTTTTTTTTTTTTTTTCGTTCTGGCTTTAGTGACTGTATTTGAAGTGCTGACTTAAATTTGGAAAGTAAAAGGAGAAAAATGAAGAGTAAATTTTCCTTCCTGAATAGATAGCATAATTTAATTTATATTTTATAAAGCTGCACACATTGAGAGAGAAATGCTGGTTTTCATGGTATGTGCTTGGTTTTCAGAGGGAGATGACTGCAAGGTTAGGTTATATAATATTTCCATTTTGAGGAGCATTTTGGAGGTATTCAAGTTCAGCTCTGAAGAAGTGTCAGTGAGAATCATTCCAAAGTTCCATAAAAACTACTGACACCAAACAAAATGTTATGTTTATGGAAATCATCCAGAAGTTTAGTGTTTGACATTGTTCTCTTGATGATGGTCCAACATCTTACAGCTGTGATCCCAACCGTAATGTTTTGGACACATAAGAAATACACTGTTTCTTCCTTGGTCACAGATTGATTTATATGTTTTTTAGCCGTTTGTGACAACATACTCAACTTGTAGTGCATTTCTGTTTATTAGCACCCTGATATGATTATTTCTTAAGACAGGCAGAAACATTTTTGGAAGTAGCTTGAAACTCAGTATTATAGCTTTATTATCCAACGAATAACTATTTAGTCTGGGTGGTGAGTGAAAGGGGAAGCTCTAGTAAAGTAACAGGAAACTAGCACATTGTACATTGTTGCTGCCATACAGAGAGCTATTGTACAATAGAAAAATGGGATTATTATTTTTTATGGGCTATGTGTTAGTGGTTGGAATGCTAACTACCCTTTTGCATAAATAATATATTTTCCTCTTGTCCAAGAAATAAAACAGAAATGTAGAAGAGTGGCTGTAGTCCATTAAAAATCACGTGTAATTTGGGAAATTTTGTAAGGTCTTCATTAAAGAGGGTTTCTTTTCTATTCTGGTGACTTTTCATTGATGTAGTCAGTAGTTATTTTTTCAACATTTTTTTTTGCAATTTTGCAAACTAAGCATTCCAGTTATCATAATCTTACATATATGACTATGTTTTGTCATTCATTTTGTGTGTGTGTTTGGCACAAGCACAGAGCCCTGGTGGCACAGTGGTTAAGAGCTTGATTACTAACCAAAAGGTCAGCAGTTCAATTCCAAGGAGCAAAATATGGGGCAGTTCCACTCTGTCCTGCAGGGTCACGATGAGTCAGAATCAACTTGACGGCAGTAGGTTTGGTTGGTTTTTGGCACAAGCATACATGTGCCAGAACTGGGCAGTGGAGTGCTCTAAAGATTAAAACAATATTCACCTTCCCTTCATGTTCCAGCTATAAGGATGGTGTTTGGGTAGAAACCATCAAAGAGAAATTGCTATTAGCAATCAAGTATAATCTGAGCCCTTGCAGAGAAGCACTATGATGTAATGTTTAAGAATATGGTCTTTAGAGTCAGAAAAACGTAATGTGCAAAATCTAGGTCTGACATAAACAAGTTATGTGATCTTTGGCTAGTTGTTGTTATCTCTTAGGCTTAACTATCTAATGTATAAAATATGGATAATAATTACTACTTGCTAATCTTTGTGAGGATTAAAGGAGATGCTTATAGGACATTTAGCACTGTGTCTGGCACATGCTAATCATGGGACAAATGAAATCTAGTATTATTAACTCATTACACAAACATGAATTAAGCCCCTACTCCTTGCCAAAAAGAGTGCTAAAACCTGGGGATACCAGTGAGATACGGAGACAGACATGATAATTACAGTCACACACTAATGCTAAAATAGAGACATGCACAAGATCCTACTGGGAGCACAGCAGGGAAAGCATCGAACTTTGCCAATGGAGACTGAAGAAAGCTCACCACAGGGAGTGATGTTTGAGCTGAGGTTTAAAGAATGAGTGAGAGTTTGCCAGGCTGATGAGAGAAGACGGTTATCCTGGGCAGTGAACAATATGTCAATGGCATGAAGGCAGGCAAAGACATGGTAAATCTGGAGAATGAAAGTAGACCTCCTTGGTTGGATCAGAGTCTATATATAGGATATTACCCAGCAAAGCTGAAAAGGTATACAGGACTCGATTGCCATGTTTACACTTTCAGTAGTACTGAAAACTGGAGAAGGGTAAGTATTTAGAATCTGAGAGCAGGGCAGAGTTTGGATGTTTATGTGACTAGTTTAGAAAAGGCCAATAGAATATTCTGACATGTGACCTTTCCTATTTCAGAAATATTGTCGTAAGTAACTGAAATCCATAGAGGAAATGTAGTCAGTGGCTGGTATTTATTTCTGAGCCTTAACTTTTAAAAGAGTAGCTAAAATCTCTGTGCAGACTATATTGCCACATATTATTTAAAATTTCTGTTGAAAACTAGTATGACATAACTGAACAGGTTAAGTGACATTGTCGAGATTCTGAAATTATTTCCTATTAACACAAACATATATAATCCTTTATATAAGCACCTTCTAGGGCCTTCTGCAGATCAAGTTCCCAAATGTGAAACCAATTACTTTTGAGTCAGTTCCAACTCATGATGACCCCGTGCATGTCAGGGTAGAATTGTGCTCTATAGGGTTTTCAATGGCTAATTTTTCAGAAATAGATCACCAGACCTTTCTTTTCGCCTCTGGGTGGACTCAACCACCAACCTTTAAGTTAGC